ATTGCATTCTTTTTTTTATTTTTTTAGATTTATTATGTATACAGCATGTATGACTGCAGTCCACAAGAGCGCACCAGATCTCATTACAGATGGCTGTGAGCCACCATGTGGTTGCTGGGAATTGAACTCAGGACCTCTGGAAGAGCAGTCAGTGCTCTTAACCTTTGAGCCATGTTGCGTTCTTTTATGTTGCATTTGTTTAACTCTGTGAAGCTGTGTTACTTTGCCTGCTTAAAACACCAGATTGGTCTAATAAAGGGCTGAACAGCCAATAGCTAGGGAGGAGAAGGATAAGCAGTGCTGGCAGGAAGAGAGAATAAATAGGAGGTGAAATCTAGGCTCAAGAGAGAAAGGGGGGAATGAGAAAAGGAGGAGAGGAGGACACCAGGGGCCAGTCACCCAGCAGCCACACAACCAACAATGGAGTAAGAAGGAAAACAAAGATATCTAGAATAGAGAAAAGTAAAAGCCCAGAGACAAAAGGTAGACGGGATAATTTAAGAAAGGCTGGCTAGAAACATGCCAAGTTAAGGCCAGGCATTTATAAATAAGAACAAGTCTCTGTGTATTTATTTGGGAGCTGGGTGGTGGGCCTCCAAAGAGTAAAAACAAACAAACAAAAAACCCCAACTACAGAATTGTATATCTGGGTGGCTTAAACACACACTAGGATCATTAAGGCCACAGAAACAATGTGTACAGAAGCCAGTTCCTCACTTTGAATACTGCCTCCAACAAACAAAAATCTATCGAGAAATGGCTGAGTTCAGTGTAGCAGGTGATTAATAAAAAGCAAAGAGGAGTGCCAAAGGAGAACAGAGAGAAGATACAGACATGCCCAGAAGAGCATCCCTATTTTCTAGGACAACTCATATGCTGTGTATTGAATATGACATTGTGTGTGGAAATCATATACTAAGAAAGGAAGGCAGACTTTTCTTTCTCACCCACCAGTTCCCAAATAACTGACACAGAGACTCAATATTAATTATAAATGCTTGGCTGATAGCTCAGGGTGATTACTAACCAGCTCTTACAACTTAAATTAATCCATATTTTATCGCTGCCTGGAGTACCAGGCTCTAGGCAGCGCAGGGCTCGAAGGGAAAATTCACAGTGTTGGCGCATACTGGACTTTTCTACCGGAGGGGGTTAGGTATCTCACACATTCTCTTGATCTTTTCCTTCTCTTTATTCATCCGCCTCTTCTGATGGACTCACTGGGCTGGATTCAACTAGGGCATCCCTCCAAGCTATACAAAAGCATATTTACAAATTGTTACATAAAGTGGTTCCTCGTACCAAGGTCTCCATCCTTAATTCACATGTCTTACTGAAGGGGAGCCACCACAGACCTGTATGGCCTTAGCCCTTCACTGTGCATTGTGTGCGATACACAATAACACAAGAGCCTCAGGTGTGCCTGAGCTGTCCTGTGACCAAAGTCATGGGATGGCCGCAAGGCCCCCTCAGCAAAATAATTATTGTTTTCCATAAGGACTCTCCAAGGTCAAAGGTACTTCTAAAAAACATCTGTTCATTCAAATCTCTATTCCATACAGTCACTTTGCTAAATTCCTATGGAGTACAGGTAACATGTTTTTCTCCTCCCTTACATGATTAAAAAAAAAAGTCATCTCAATATCCCATATACATTTACATCTAAGTAACTACTGCAGGTTAACACAACATGAGCAGGCAGAAAGCATCTTTTCACAGCCAACTTCCTTGCTGGCTTGACATATACCACAGCTACAAAGAAAGAATCAATCGTTCTACTGTCAATCTAGAAAGTTAATCTTACAAGGAATCCTAAAGGAATCACAAACCTAAACTTTTGTACATAAAAGACAGTCAGTCAGCTGTACTTTAGATCTTCAGGATGTATACCCGTCGATCACTAGTTTCTTATGTCAGGACATTGAGGGCAGGAATGGGTATAAGGAGTTAATCATTGCCTTTGATGAACAGCAACCTTAACAGTTGGGCTGCTTTGTATTTCTTAACCTCAACCATGTGTCCTTTTGGACGTTAGGTTGCTTCTCTCTCTCTCTCTCTCTCTCTCTCTCTCTCTCTCTCTCTCTCTCTCTCTCTCTCTGTGTGTGTGTGTGTGTGTGTGTGTGTGTGTGTGTTTTCATCTTAAAGTAATGTTCAAAACATTTGCTCTAACCTGAAGTTCTTATAAGACTTTGATGCAGTCAAATGATGCACACTGAGACCTGTAACTGTATCTTTTTAGCATTAAGAGAATTAGGGCCAGCCTGGCTTCCAGATAATTCAAATGTTCTCCTAGTCAATTACCCAAGCTGTGATCTAAAGCGGCTCCTAAGGTGGAACTCAGAGGCCTTAGCTGTGAAATATATCCTTGTATATACTTTTATTCATCAAGGATCGGTATAGACTAATGTTATTATTATTAATTAGACAGCACAGCTTAGGAAGGAAGTCACCTTCATAATAATTTGTAGGTAAAAATGCCCAGTAGAACAGGATGTTTCAATGAGGTAAACACATTACCTTACAGGCAGTGGGGAAATTCCCAACACCCAATTCAACCTTGATAGATATCAGAGAAAGATAGCAACAGCAAGCAAGTAAGGGCACAGCAGAAGCAAAAGACATTCCGGGGTCTGTGATCTTGTGGGGGAGGGGGAGGGAGCTTACCTAACTGAGAATTATCCATCAAGGGGGTTTCTCCTGGTGGGCTGACACCCTGAACTTCAATTGCCATCTGCTGCTCCTCCGACATGGCCTCTGACAATATTTCTTATCTAAGTTCTACCACGTGGCTCATGGCTTCTTACCTCATGTTTTGTACCTTTCCTGCTTCCTCTGCATCTGGCTGGTGACTCTGTAGACTCCACGCTTTTTCTTCCCAGTGTCCTCCTAATCTGCCTCTCCCACCCATCTCTTCCTGGCCAGCCCTTTATTAACAAAGGAGAGTAATATATATTTACAGTGTACAAAGATTCTTTTACAGCAAAAGAGCATTAAATATGCTATATTATGCAAAAATATAGGACCCAAATTATCAGAAAATGCCTAGGCACATTCTAAAAAGAAAAACCTAGTATTCCTCATCCCAATGCATGAAGGAAAGCAAACACTGATTTAGAGCAAGGTGACAGCAGAGGGTTGGTATCTAGACTGACCGTCACACACATCTGGATTAACTGACTCTATACCTTTGCACTTCTCTTTTCCATGTTGGGCTTTACCCCAGGCTCTTGGGAGCATGAGAAAACAAACTGTACCACCGAGCTGTGCTCCCAGCCCTGTAAACTCTTCTTGAGACCAAATTATTTTAAGAACATATTTGTAGGACACATTCCATTTTTATTGAAGATAAAGTCCAGATTAGCATCAAAGAACTTTTACATTTGTTAGTTTGGTGGTGGACACATGATGAGCCACCAGAACGTCCTTCTTAACCTACACATGGTGACACATCCCAAACACTAAAAGAAAGTTGGTCACATGCTCCTCAAGGCTGCCCACTGAGCTGCACTCTCGACCAGCCATGGGAACTGGAGAGCTCCTTGCTCAGGGCTCCACACTGTCTGGACAGGGCCCTGATGGAGGAAGCACAGCATGTCCAGAGGATGGAGAGGAGTAGGCTCAGCTGAAGAAATGGTTTGTGCAGGGCCTGGGATGCAGAGGAAGACTAAAGTACAGGAGCTAGAAGGACAGGGACTCAACATGAGCCCAGGGAAATGGCCTGGGACAGGCAGGCAGCTGAGGGCTTCCTTCCTTTCAGGGCTGGGACAATAGACTCAGTTTTAAGGCAACAGCAGTCCTCAGCGGCACTCCTGATTCAGCCCTTGCTTTGCACTTGAGATCTCCCAGTTCTCTGGAGCAAGTCTTCCCATTGCTCTCCTGGGACACTCGCCTTCCCACAGGGTTTGTTTCTTCCTCTGCCATAAGCTCACAGCCTGTGACAGGGACTCTTCATGGGTGGTGTTCAAAGACAACTCATCCCTGAAACTGAGACTGATGCCTGGACCTGAGATCCTGTGCTGGTGCACATGAGCATCACCCTGAAGGGCAGCACTGCCAATTTGTCATCTGTTTTTAGAGAAGTGCAGTGCCTCTAGAGGATTGAAATCCTAAAGTTGAAAAGAAATTAGCAGTGTATACCAAGATAAAAGAGCCCAGCCGTGGACACTGGTAGGGTATCAGACTCAGGAAAGTGACATGCATCTCTGAAGCCAACCAGGTCATCAGGTAATGGTTAATAAAGACCTATGAACCAATGATTATAACTAAAACCACAAGTGAGCACGTGAGTCTGTGCATAAAGTCAGTGGTAAATGTCCTTGTTTGTGGATAAGAGCTGTGAGTTTGAACTTGGAACGAAGTAACAGTAATCTCACTAACTTGGAAATGACATTACTAATAGTGACAAGGCAATTTTTCCACAGTAGTTACTGCAGGGATACAGTCTGCATTGAGGCCCAGAGCATGCTGGGACAGACTGTTGATAGTCCTCTAGGTGAAGTTAAGTGTGGATTGTGAAATTCCTTTCTGCCCTTCAGCTCCTGATTAAAACAGGACAAAGGTTAAGACAAATATGCTCTTACAGGACATTAGCTTGATCATTAGATACAAGAAGCAGGGGGCAGTGTAAACTGTACTTCGGTTAGCCTTGAATTTGGGATAATGTCTTAATTCTGAAATTTAAGGCTACTTAACACACTATGCCCCAAAGTCAGTAGTGTAAAGTCACATTTTGTTGTTATAGCTGAGCGTTCTATGGCTAGACTCTGTGATTCCATTTATGCTTCTACTATGGTCTGCCTTCCTTTGTTTCTTCCTTTTTTGACCAATGTGTTTCATTAGGGTTGTTCACAATAGCATGGATGACACGTTATTTAGAGACACATAAGCATTAATTCAACGAATCCATTAAAAGACTCTAGCTCTTCAGGAAAGGGTGGTGGCTTGTGAGCCTCCCCCTGATTTGTCTCATTTCTAGTCTATCAGGGAACTCTGGAATCTTGAACTCTGGGGGAGTCCATGGGAGTGGCTGTTCCCTATTGGTACCCACCCCCTTGTTAGAATGGTCACCTTATTAAAGCAGCGTCCACACTCATCTGGAGCAGGAGTTGCTGAGCTGAGTGGAGAGGAAGCCTGGACTCTCACTAGGTCAGTTTTCTCTTTTATAACCTGTGTGACATGTTCTCATTTCTGCATCACTGGAAAACAGCTTTTCAGTGCTTTATTTATTATGCATTAATTGTACAGAACAGCTGGTTTTATTATGTAATTTCTACTAATGTATGTTATATACTTTGATCATATTCACTCCCCATTACCATTGATTTTACCTGTGTTTGATTCTGGTTCATATGAATTATTTTGTGACTCAACATCGAGTAGCAAACTATTTTTCCTTCTCTTTTCCTTCTCTCTTTCTATTGTCCCTCCCTCCACCCTTCCCGTCCTTCATCCCTCCTCCCCTTTCTCCCTCCTTCCTCATCCTGTTTTTCATTCTTCTCTTCATCTATTCCTTCCGTCATCTCCTACTGTTCCTTTTTCTCCTTCTGCTTCTCTCTCTGTTCCCTCCTTTCTCTCCCTCCTTCAGAGTCACTGAGCCAAAGGGTGGGGTTTAATGTATTTGCAAGGGACTCTAAATGATGGGATTCAGGACAGTGAGGAGTAGACCTGGACTGTCCTCTCAGGGAAACCTAAGATCAATAGTGTTCTTCTCTTGAATTGCATGTGCTAACCTCACAGAGAACTTGCAGATTCCTCCCAGGTGAGAACTTTTATTTACCCAGACTCTCCCAGCCACCCTCCCAAAGCACTTCCCCAGTTGGGTTTTCTACCACATTTGTTTCTGTTGTGTGGATTCTGATTGCTTTGATAATTCTGTTTAAATAACAGAGTAGCAGGTTCCACACTTAGGATTTGTTACTTTATTACTATCTTAATATTTAATTGTCCAACACAACCTCTGTTATTAAAAGGTAAGCCCAAAAAAGCAAATGGAAAAGAAAAGCATGACTAACTATTGAACCCCAGGAGATCTGAGGACTGTGGACTGAGCCTTCCATCATGTACCAGGGAGCAGTTGTCTGCTTATTTCCTCCGTGATCACAGATGTGTGTAGGAGGGAAGGAACGGAAGACCAGAAAACAATTTAAAATCCTGTAACAAGAGATGACAGGAAGAAATAAGTCTGTAGAAGAATGAAGTTAAATACAAACTCTGACATCAAGCTGTGGCCAATCCTATGCTAAGGTTCAAAGTATTCATCATGAATATGGAGAAACTCCAAAGTGGACCCTTAACTTGTGCAACTCTAAAACTGACAGGTTAAAGAGAGAGAGAGCCACACAGCTCAGCAGAGATGTCGTTTTTAAGGTGTAAGTCACCATATGGCTGCAAGGCGAGTGATGCTGAGGAATGACTGCATCCCAGGGAACACAGGATGAAAGTCTTTGAAAGCCTCAGAATCTCAGAGTCCCTGTGAGGTTCCCAGTGCAGAAGCTGTGCAGAGCAAACTAGAGTTCATGGAATAAACAAAGAAAAGCACAGGCAGAAAAGAACAGAGTGTTAGAAAGTGCCTGAGAAAACTGTGAGGTGCCCATGAGAAGCAAGTGTAAACTGAGGGCAGGGAGGCCGACATCTGAGGGGTAAGAATGTTGCTGAGGCCTGGTGATACTGACCCAGTAGACGGAGCCCACCAGCTCTAGAGGATCTGGTGTCTTCTTCTGGCCTTTGCAGCCACTGCAGCCATGTGCCCGTACAGACAGACAGACAGACAGACAGACAGACACACACACACACACACACACACACACACACACACACACAC